TCTGCTATAAGATAATGTTTTCTCGTTATGATGAGGTTTTTATCCATCATATTTTTTTACACATCTATTAGATTAAAAATTTAGATGCAGCCATCATTCTGCTATAATTAAGATAAAGGTTTCCTCGGAGCGAGATGCATGTCACATGTCATCTAAACTTTTTTTTTTTTAGTTTGTTACTTCTAATTATCACAAATTTGTCCGCATGAATTGATTTACAACATACTGTACGTTCAATTTTACAAAATACTCTACATTCAATTAAGACTGATTTTTATTTGCTAATGATTTATAAAGATTGATTATTATTTTGACCAAACAGGAAAGATGAACTTGTTGGATCAATGTTGTTAATCTAAACAAACATAAAAGTTTTTCATATTATTTTTTAGTCTTTATAAGTTTGTAACGTTTTTATCAGTGTATGAAACATTTTCATGATTTTTTTATTTATTCCACGATTTGTTAATTCATTACAGTTTTGAACAATCTATGAAAATTATTAAGCCGCCTTCTGGCAAATATGTATGTGGTTACGTGTTCGTGTATCATAAGTCGCAAACATAATGAATAACATTATAAATTATTCATTCAAACTTTTATTCATTACAAATATATTAAAATAGTTTATATAACAACCATTAAATACCACTTTTAATATATTTATAAATAAAAAAGTACATAAATTTTCTAGTGTGTTCAAATTTAAATAGTTTTTGGCGGGCTCAATTTTAAATCATCCAGACATTTGGTCAAACACATAGGTGTGTTTAAATTTAAATCATTGGCATTTTGTTAAATTGAAATTTAAATTATGTTCAATCATCTATCATGGTACTGTGATGTGTATAATATATATATATATATATTTAGATATATATACAATTTTTTAACAAATAATATGTGTTTTATAAATATAATAATAATAATTTCACAAAATTTTAGATGTAAAATCTGATTTTATCACAATAGAAAAATCATGGTAAGTTGTATTGAAAAGGTGTTATGGGATAAAACAATTAAATAAATAATTAAATAAAATACTTAATAAAAATATAATACATTAATTACCTTTGACTTTTCTTATAACAAAATCTAGTAAATAAGATAGCTTTTTATATAAATATAAATTTAATTATTTTATTTTACGGAATAGATTCTAAATTCCATATTGTAGAGATTCAAATCGAAGAAACATCTACTATATATAATAGAAAGTTTGTTAAGTAAACATTTATACAGATTCTAATCGGAAAAAACATCTATTCCATATTTATAGATATTCTAATCGGAAAAAACATCTATTCCATATTACAATATGTAATTAATGAAAGTTTGTTAAGTTACTAATTTTAGACAATAATTAATGATTTTGGCGGAAAATATTACTAAAAGTGAATTAAGTTAATCCTTATTATATATTAGTAGATTTGTAACTAATTGAAGAAGCTACATATACCCATCTTAGTTTTGTTCTCATAATTCTATTCAGATACTTTGTTTGTAGCACTCAAGGGTTAAGTGTTGGGTTGCTCGAGGGATTCGAGTGTGTAAACTCCACGACTTGTGGCCAGAGAAATAGTTGGTAGGATCAAGTATAGAGTTGGCTAGACTAGAAGAGAGTTCTACATAAATCCAAATTATACAAAAGTGCACAATCAGTTTATCAATAAAAGATCTCTGATGAGTAGTTGGACGCTTCTCGAATAGTTTTTTATATCTTGTTTGTGCTTCCACAATCATACTTATTATTAGGGGTGAAAGCGGCGTGGATAATTTCCGCATCCGATCCGATCTGAATCCGCGTTACGAGGATATGGATTAAGGTTTTAGATATCCATGAGGATATGGATAATCCGCATCCGATTGTTGCGGATATGGAGGAGGATATGGTATTGGCAATATCCGGTGTATATGGATTATCCGACAATTTAAAGTGGATTATCCGACCTTTATAAGAGGATATCCGATTATTTTACATAGCCCAAAATAATATAAGCCCGGTCCAACTAGCCCACACAAACTATATAAAATTACTCATCGGCAGACACCCTAAAAGCTAAGGATACGGCGGCTGGTTCCACAATCATCAGAGCCGGCCCAGGCCTAGGGCAGCCTGGGCGACGGCCCAAGGCCCAATTAAACAAAGGGGCACCAGCTACCCACTTTCCTTTATATATATCATATACATATCTATTAATTTATTATTGATTGGGCCCAATTAAATTTAAATAAAAGTCCATATCCAGTAACTTACCTGAAGGCGCAGTAAATGTGTGGGCCGCGTGACCTTTTTATTTTTGCGGCCTATTCCAAATGCTTAGGATGAAAAAAAAAAAAAGAGAAAATTATGCAAGGGCCGAACTAATTCAAAAGTATTTGCATATCTACCATAATTTCTTTTTATTAGCAAATTTAAAGGATATTTACAAAATATTTTCTTATATACGTGATTTTATAGTATTTAATTGTTGGGTAACTGCTGGTTTTATTAAACATAGGATACCATTCACGAACCTACCTCTTTTTTGGGTTATCTCTCCAAACTCTCTCTCTTTCTCTCTCCTTCATCATTCAATTCTCTTCTATCTGGAAAAAATCGATCATCGCATCGTCGTCGGAAATAGTCATAGCCGAGATCGAGTTCGCAGATCCACAACATTAAACCTACGGTAAACCACAAACTTGTCGAGAGAATCTTCAATTTCAATCTAAATCAAAGCATAGTGGCTCGAAGAAATTGCGTAGGAGAGGCGGAGAATCGGTGCAAATTTCTTAAACGAGGTCGATGAACAACACCAGCAAAATAAGTGAACACGGCCTAATATAAAGGCTGCCACTTTCGCCCGGGTGCACGAACAGCGTTGAGCTTTTTTGCTTCACATTTTTTTTTGAATTTCAGAGGAAGTTTCGATACATTTGTTCGATAAAATCTTCTCTTTTTTGTTGTTTTTTTTTTTT